TAACCTAAATACGGTAAGTGGGTAAGCTAACCTAGGTACGGTAAGTGGGTAGAAATATTCTTTATTACCACTATTTACAAAATAAACTATTAGAAACATTATTTCATTAGTAATTTAAAGAACATTAAGAAATATTTAAACTATGAAAAATGTGAGATAGGCCTACTTTTATTACAATTGATCTAACAAAAACCTAACCTAGCCTAGGCATAACATAGCCTAAAACGGTTACCGGTAAGTTAAATTGAAACATTACAAGGTATTCTTTTAATTTGCGGAAACAACGAGTTGGAGAGTCCATTACAGACTATATTACTGTGATTAAAACCTTAGCCAGTACATGTAATTTCGGATCATTTTTTGACAACGCATTAAGAGATCGTCTTGTGTCGGGGTTATTAAATACCAATATGGTCAGTCATCTACTAGCTGAATCAGACGCCATTACTTTTGAGGAAACATGCAAAATTATTTTCGACATGGAAGCGGTAGAGAGGTCAACGAACATTATGTCTGGAAATGACGTCACGGCTCACGTCAGTCACGTGACCACGCAGGGAGCGCGGCAGTCTACGTCAACTCCTACGTCACAGTCCTGGAGATCCAAACAGCGATCACGTACCCCACCTCCCCCCGCTACGTACAATAGACAACGGTCAACATCAGCTGGTTATCCACGTCATCCACGTTCCGATAAACATTCGCCGTCCCGATATAGGTCACCGTCCCCGCACCGCCGCTCGGACCATGAACTATCCAACAACAACCGGAAAACCTGTCGTTATTGTTTTAAGAGACACAGTCCATCAAAATGTCCCGCAAAAGACTGGATCTGTCACAACTGTGGTAAACAAGGACACGTTGCTGGTTTTTGTCATAGCGCTAATTTTGTTAACATGTCTAATACATTAATTAATGAGTCCAGTCCTTTGTCTGTATGTATACAAGTAAATGGTACACCTACTAATTGGCTAGTAGATACTGGTAGTGCAGTTAGTATTTTGAGAGCAGATCTGGCTAGGAGCTTAAAGCTAACTAAATTGTCACCTTTTCTAGGTCAAATCAGAAGTGTCAATGGTCAAGAATTAAATATTTTTGGTACTTGTGAAGTTGAGGTTAAACCCCAAAACCAATTGAAGCAACATTTTTTGAATGTTATTGTAGCTGAACAGCTGTCATGTCCCGCTCTTTTAGGGAGAGATTGGTTGTCAGTTTTGTCACCAAACTGGTCAACTAACTTACTGTCGGGATGTTTGTCTAACACTAATGATTGTCCAGTAAATTATGTGTCGAGTCCAAACGATGAATGTCAGTCCGTGGTTCAATGTAGGCCTAAAGCAAATGTAGTTGAAGTTTTGTCAAAACGTTTCCCTTGTGTTTTTTCAAAGAAAAACAATGAACTACCAATCAAAGATTTTAAAGTCAGTATAAATCTGAAAGATGATGTTCAACCTGTATTTCACAAAGCGTACACAGTCCCTTATGCCTTGAGAGATGAAGTAAATCAAGAGTTGTCTAGATTAGAGTCTGAAGGTATCATAAGTAAAGTCAAACATGCAGATTGGAGTAGTCCCATGGTTTGTGTACCAAAATCTAACGGCAAGTTGCGTATGTGCGATGATTTTAAAACCACTTTGAACAAGCATTTAAAAGTAGATCAACATCCTATCCCCACTCCTGATGATATTTTTAACAAATTTGTGGGATGCAATGTTTTTTGTCGCTTGGATCTGTCCCAAGCGTATTTGCAGTTAGAAGTTCATGAAACAAGTAAACAATTGTTGGTTGTTAACACAATCAAAGGTCTCTATATGTACAACCGCCTTCCTTTTGGCTTAGCATCTGCTTGTGCAATATTTCACGTGTTGGTCATATTGTGACGTCTTGAAGAGTACAATGTAAAGTTAAATGTAGATAAGTCAGAATTTTTTGTACAGTCGTTGATATTTCTAGGGTTTGAGCTGTCTGGTAAGGGTAAAGCACCGTCTGCTACCAAAGTGCAGCAGATTTTGTCTATTCCAGCTCCTACTAATTTAACAGAACTTAAGTCATTTGTGTCAATGTTTAATTACTACAGAAACTTTGTACACATGTGTCTAGACCTTTTAGAACCTTTTCATAAACTAATGAGAAAAGATGAACCATTTGTCTGGTCATCAGATTGTGCATTAGCTTTTGCTAAGTGTAAAACGTCTCTATCAGAAGCAACTATGTTAGTATTGTTTGACCCATCAAAAGAATTAATTTTGTCTGTTGATTCAAGTTCTTTTGGTGTTGGTGCAATTTTGAGTCAAGTTGAAGGTAACAAAGAGTACCCAATAGCTTTTGAAAGTGCAACCCTAAACCCAGCACAAAGAAATTATTCACAATTAGAGAAGGAAGCTCTGGCTTGTGTTTTTGGTCTAAAAGTTTCACAAATATTTGTGGGGAAGAAGTTTTACAATTTGTAGTGATCACTTGCCCTTGAAGAGTATTTTCAGTGAAAATAAGAGAATACCTAACTTAGCTTCTTCAAAGCTAATACGGTGGGCTACCATGTTGTCTGCTTATCAGTATAAGATTGTCCACAAGAAAGGTTTATTGATACCACATGCCGATGCTTTGTCGCGATTACCAAGCTCTGATTTAGTCCAAGATGACGATTCTTTTTTTACTTATTTGTCCACTCCTCTAGTTTCTAATGATGAAGTGAGTAAAGAAACCATGAAAGATAACGTTTTGTCTAAAGTGATAGAGTTTGTACAACATGGTTTTCCAAAAAAAGTGTCCAGTGAGTTCAAAGTGTATTCTAACAACAGCCACTGTTTGAGTGTTCACAATGGTTGTTTGTTTTTTGGAAGTAAAATTGTAATACCTGAAAACCTAAGAAGTAAAGTCCTAGATGTGATTCATTTCAGCCATGCTGGCATAACTAGATCAAAACTATTTGCAAGGTCATACGTGTGGTGGCCTACACTTGATAGCGATCTATATAGATTCATTTCAAATTGTCAAATATGTCAGTCTCATCAAAACAAACGTAGTAACCAATATCGTCTACCTTGGCCTAAGTCAAAATGCCCTTGGGAAAGAGTGCATCTAGATTTGTTTGATTTTCGTAACAATAAGTATTTGATCTTGTGTGATTCTTATTCTAAGTGGGTAGAGTGCTTTGTACTAAGAAACAGAAGTGATTTCAAAGCCGTTATAAATAAACTAGCAGAAGTGTTTTCTAGATTTTCATTTCCGCGCACAATTGTGTGTGATAATGGTCCGCCATTTTGTAGTCAGGAATTGAAAGATTTTTGTAAAAGGAAGTCAATCAAACTCATGTTTTCACCTCCATATTCACCTCAATCTAATGGACTAGCTGAACGTTCCGTTCAAACATTTAAAATTATATTGTCTAAATTTTATCTTAGTCAAAGAAGTCATAATCTGCCACCAGAACAAATGTTACTAGATTGTCTATATGCTTATCGTTCCACTCCATCCTCTGTAACGGGTAAATCTCCTATGGCAATGCTACTTACTTTTGTACCTGAAACGCCTTTGTCTTCTTTAAAAAGAAATGTAAGTTTCAACTTTGTATCAGATCAGTCAAAAAGAAAGAATCTCTGAAAGTAAAGACAAGCAAAAGATAAGAATTCCAAACTACCATCCTGATCAATTTGTATGGGTAAATTTGAATAAAAGAACAAATGTTGGTGTAAAGTTTGTGGTAGGTCAAGTGACCAAGAAAATTAGTCTGACTGTTTTTTTGGTAAGAGTGTTATCTGACAAAAGTATTCACAAAGTCCATGTAAATCAGCTTAGAGAATATTATGTTCCAAAACCTAATCCTGATAAACTCTACACCAAAACACCGTCACCTAGACATGTGCCTAGTCCTAGTCCACCCAGACCATCTCCTGTTAACAATAGTACCAATCCACGTCCATCTCCACCCGTCCCCCAACCTTCACCTACAAGTCCCCTTCAGCAGACTACTAGTAGAGGAAGAGTTATAAAGCCGACTAAAAGATTTACATTTTCTGAATTTGATTGATGATATTGAACTGTCTTTTTTGTCTTTGATGTTGTTTACTGTTTTGTTGTGTGTATTTTCAAGAATTGTAAACAAAGTTTTTATTTCATTTATTTTGTCACTTGAATTTTTGATGTTTTAATTATTGTACATATTGTCAATTTATACATGGGAAGGTAGTGATGTATCATAGGTATACCCCCACCAGGTAACCGATAGCCGTACTCAGATAGTTGGCCATTCCTGTCTGGGCCGTCTAAATATCAACAATGTTTGTCTCTGGCGTTACCTAATAAAGTTCATTTATTCAGTTTCAAATGAGAGTTTTATTATATTATAGTATACCTCCAAGAACACGTCACGGTCAGGATTTTTAACCTCCTAAACTTTGGTCTGCAACTATCTGTTGTCTCAATGCCAGTCAGGGTTCGAACAGCCCTCTTTTGCATGATTAGAACTCTGTTAAGGTTCTGTGCCAATGATCCACCCCACACCACAATGCCATAACAGAGAATACTCTCAAGAAGGGCATGCTGTTAGTGCCGCCTCTTCTGTGTTCACAGCCATTGTTCTTCTCAGTGCAAAAATTGCGGTGCTTAGCTTATGGCAGAGTGCTTCAATGTGTTCGTCAATGATGACACCTAGATGTCTTACAGAGCTAACAGAGTAAATGTCGGGAATACAGCAGACAAAACTTTTCCTGTTGCTAAATGAAACTAGCTTGGTTTTTGAGGCGTTGAAAACAAGGTCATGATTGTCGCAGTACTCCGCAGCTAGGCTCAAACCAATGTAGGCATTGACTTCTACGTTGTTGATAGGTGAGTTTGAAGAAAGCAAGACAGTGTCATCCGCATACATTATAGCTTTACTGAAGGGTTCGGTGGTATCTGGAAGGTCGTTCGTCAATAAGATATAAAGCACCGGTCCCAGGACGGACCTCTGTGGAACTCCTCTGGACATTGGGCGTACTTCAGATCTAACGGTGGTGATAGTCCTATTCCTGGAGTGGCTGCGTTCGACCCTTCAGATACTGAGTAAACCAACCAAGAGCCGTTCCACATACTCCCAAGGAGCTAAGCTTTGAGATGATCAAGTCATGGCGCAGGCAGTCAAACGCCTTAATCATGTCAACAAAAATGCCGACAACGTTGTTACCACTGTCTATATCATCAATGACAGACTCTACGAAGTCAATAAGTGCCGTGGTTGTGGATTTTCCCTTGACGAAACCATGTTGTCTCTCTGTCAAGAGTTGATTAGAGAAAAGATGTTCTAATAGCCTCTGTAAGACAATCTTCTCCAGGATCTTCGAAAAGGTTGAAATCAAAGATATTGGTCGATAGTTCCCAATGTCAAGTCGAGTTCCTTTTTTGTGTAGGGGAGGGATCTTCGTTGTCTTCATGTTTGATGGGAAATTATTACCTTGTGTGAGTGATAATTGAATTACGTGAAGCAAGGGCAGCAGAAGCTCCTGTCTGCAGGATTTCACTATCCTAGCTGATATTCCATCCATCCCTGTTGATGATTTAGGTTTGAGGGAGTTAATCACTTCTAAGAGCTCCGTTTGGGATACCGGCTTGAGGTTGTGCATTGGAAAGACTACATTGAGTTTGTCAGTGTTAGAAACTCTGGACGATCGATGTTGCTTTTTGGTTTCCTGATTTTGGTTGTTCCTTATTGTTTCTTCAGCCACAGTGGCAAAGTAGTGATTAAACAAATTGGCAACTTCGACAGGGTCCTCCACTTCCCTTCCTTCTATTTGCAGTTTGACTGAGTTCGAGATAACATCACATCTGTTATTACGCTCGCAGTTGATGGTCTGCCATATGGCTTTGCTTTTGTTGACGGCTTGATTAATCTTAGATGCACTTATTTCTCTTCTAAGAGATCTAAGTTTAAGATCATAAGCCTTCTTCCGTTTAGAAGCTTCTTGTTTGTCCTGCATACAGTTGGTGAGCAAGAACTTCCTCTGAGCATCTAGAAACTCTTGTTTTAGGAGTCTAGCTTCGTGGTCATATTTTGCAGACATCTTGGGTTTGTGATTACGTCTAGACTTTTTCAGAGGACAAGTTACGTCAATGTTTTCAAGGAGTAGCTGCATAAAGGAGTTGTATGCATCATCCACGGTAACAGAACTAAAGACAGCGTTCCAATTCTCCTCTGCAAGATTTAGCTTAAGATTGCGAAGATTGTTGGCGTTAATGTGTCTGCGGGTTGATGTATTAGTTTGTGTGTGCTCAGCAGGAAAAGAAAGATAGCACAGTTGTCCAGTATGATCCGAGATTGAAGCATTTAATATCTCCCAGATTATGTCTTTGCTGAAATTAGTACACACAGCATCAATAGATGTTTTGGTAGTAGGGGTAATCCTCGTTGCTGGAAGCTGCTCTCTTGTTAAGTTGTGGGATAATAAAAGGTCATTAAAAAGAGAGCAATCCAACGAAGGTTTCAGTCGGTCTATATTCACATCACCTACAAGTATAACTTTGGACCTGAATGTCGAAGGCAAAGAGTTCAAGGTGTCAGACAGGAGCCGAAAGGCTTCGTCAACAAGGTTACGATTCTTGTTAGGGGGGCGATATATACCAATATATACACCGCGGTATACTGATAAGCAAGCTCTTTCGTTTGTGTTTGATAGGAGGCATACAAGTCAAATAAAAAATGACAAAGTAATGAGATGGCGCCTTGAACTTGCACCTTACCTGTACGACAATGTTTATCGCCCTGGAAAATATAATGAAAATACTATTACTATCTATTAGTAATAATGACTATTACTGATTCTATGAAGGATACTGCAGCACTAATAGATCTTCCTGACCTGACCTGCTGTAAGTCATAAAATAAGTTGTGTTGCTCTATAGTAGATGATGTTAATTGTACAGAAACTATTTTCTCAAATATATTTTAGAAACAGAAAGGAGCATAGCTACGGGTCTATAATTAGAAATATTTTTAGGATAATTATTTTATGGATTGGAAATTATTTTGGCTATTTTAAGTTGTGCCGGAAACAAGCCAGAAATAAAATAAGAATTAATCAGGTGACATAAACAGGGGTGCCCAGAGGGGGGGTACCGTGGCGCGTTTGCGCCACAGGAATTTTTGGGGGGGACTTTTTTGAAGGGATTTTGGGGGGGATATTTTTTTGCTAGCTGTCATAATGAATGTATAATTTTTTATAAGCAGCCAGAAAAAGTGTTTATAAGTAGCTCACTATCAACACCAACAACATTTTGCCGTTCGTAATTAAGATTGCTTCTAAGAATGGTAAAAACGCATCTCGTCAGACAATGAGACAATCCTTAATACACCAGTGTCGAATTTTACTTGCTACATATGTTTTGGAGGTTCTTTAACTCCACCATCGTCAGGATTTTCAAAAGAACCACTTCTGGAGGTGTCGTCAGAATACGTTACAAACATTCAACACAAAAAACTAAACGATTACAGATAGGCCTATCAATTCACGCGTGTACATTGCCGTCGGCAGGACTGGAAGTAAACTGAATCAGGTTCAGGTTATGATGGACCGACGTGACGTGGTCTCTGGATTGTCGTCTGCGTTTTCAACAGCTGATATTGGACTATTGTAGTGACTGAGAGTGTTTCCAAATTGTCTGGACATATTTTGTAGACTTTTTTCTTGGGTTAAGAAAAACATAAAATGCCATATAAGTATGGGTCTAAAATGCCTAGATTTCTGTTTGTCGGCCTGTTTGTGATTTTAAAGAATGATTTTATATTTTAGGCATTTTTCAAGATACAAATTTTAAAATTGGTATAAATTAGTAGGTTAAAAGAGCTTACAAATTTTCGTTCCAATATCTCAAGCCGTTTCAATATGGCGGCCATTTAAAATCTTTAATGCCATATTTCATGAAAACCGTAAATATTAAGAAAATTGTTTTTCAAATCAAAAAGATAGAGAATTTAAATCCAATCAAATAAGACCTTGTTTGTTAAAATCGGATAACACACAACCGAATTATCAGTTTTTTTCTACATTCTGCTACACAATTTAATCGGACTCCATATTGTTTATTATTTTACAGAGCAGTATGGTAGACCTACTGAATTGCGTTACCGAATGTAGAAAACAACTGATAACTCGGTTGTTTGTCATCCGATTTTAACAAAAAAAGGTATCGTTTGATTCGGATTTAAATTCTCTATCTTTTTGATCTGAAAAACTATTTTCATAATGTTTACGGTTTTCATGAAATTTGGCATTAAAGATTTTAAATGGCCGCCATATTGGTTAGTCCAATATCAGCTTTTGATAACACAGACGACAATCCAGAGACCACGCCTTTCCGTCATAACTTGATTCAGTTTACTTCAGTCCTGCCCGCGGCAATATACACGCGTGAATTGATAGGCTTATCTGTGATCGTTTCGTGTTTTGTATACAAACGGATTGTCTGACAAGATGCGTTTCTACCATTATTAGTCATAAAAGGCAATCCTGATGCTATCAAAATGAATTATAAGATTACTTCGTCACAAAAACCTTTTGTACTCGTGGCAATTAAGGTATTGTGAGTATTTTGCCCGGCGATTTTTGTAAAAGGCTGCCTGGGAGTGGCGAGCAACAAGTCTGTCTTATCTGTGCTCTCTTGTCTTATTTCGTGACTCTGCCTATAATTTTGAAACAATATACGTTTTGCCAAAGTATTATTAATGTACTTAAAGCTGTTTGAATTCTTAAGCCCTGTAAAAATTAACGCCACCTAATATATTGTACAGTTACAGTACTGTGTTGGAGTAGAGTAATTCACCGAGTATATTGTTGTACGTTTTGAAGACGTTGTCTATTGCAATACTGAGCACATGTTGGCTGACAATAGAGATTCTGAATTGTAAATTGAAAAACTTCTAATTCTTCCATTAGTTAGATATAATGATGTATTGTTAAACAACGTTTCCTATTAAACATTAAATTTTGATTATCAGCAAGTTTGTTTTTCGTACCTCAAGTTTCCTAAATAGGCCTACTTGAAATGCTCGCTTTATGAGGTAAAGGGAAAATTGTCAGATAAATTGGTGGGGGGAGGGTAGGTTTAAATAGACGGCAGCATAAATTGGGGGGGGGGGGATTGCGCCTCTGGGTTTGGGGGGGATGGGCACCTCTGGACATAAAACTGGTTGGGTATAATCATTGACTATTGGATACAGTACTATGTTTTATCTATGGTATTGGCTTGCTCCCTACTAGTAGGCACTTCATCATAGCAACTTGAAAGCTTATTTTTCAAACTGCTAATGATTTTTCCCACCTCATGTTCATCAGGATTTGAGTCTAAAACATGGACTTAAAAGAATAAGTTCTTGTCTATTTCTTTCCTTGAATGTATGTGATTGCTAGGACTTATATTCTTAACAACATTTGTATAATACCTGTTAAACATATTTGAAATGTCCTTAGGATTAGTTATACCATTTAAGCCATCATTTATTAACACAAACTTGCTTATTGATCTATTATTCTTTCCAACTTCTGAATTTATTGAGCGAAGCTCACTTTCCCTCACTTTGTAACTTCTTTGTAAGAGCATCAGAATGTAATGGCTTGACCAGTGGCGGTTCTAGGACCTTGTCAAGGGGGGGCTTGGAGGGTGTGGAACACCCACCAATAAAGCAGGGGGTCCTTCCCTGTTGAATATTCCGAGAATCTACTAATTATCATTAACTAGAAAACTATAAAAAGTTATTTTAACAAAAACCTGAATGATGTTGTTTATTCGAATTCAAATTAAAGACTGACAAATCATCTGTTAATAAACAATAAATTAATATTAATCACAGACTGTTAGAAACATGATTAAAGATATATTACTAAATCTCAACATTTTCCCTCATTAGTCCAGTCAATGAATGATCCAAAAGTAGGTGTAGAGTGCGTAAGCAGGTAACTAAGCGATTCCTTCAGAAACTTGTTCAGGGGGCTTAGGGTGTTAACATACCAAAAGTCCTGACTCCTAGGTGGTGAGCCAGGGGGTGGAGGGGGGAAAAAGGGGGGGGAAAAGGTACGCATTTTGGGTTTTTTTATTATATCTCGAAAACTATCAACTTTTTGTATACTATAGTAAATTATAAAATTGAAGAAGATTAAATTTTCTACAAGAAAAGTATATAATGTGTTTATTTTGGTTCAACAGATTACGAGTTATCCTGATGAGTTAAATTAGTTAAATTAGTTATGAGTTAAATCCTGAAAGTAAGATATTTTCAACATAACTATTTTCCTTATATTTGTTTCTGCTGCTATTATTCATCAGTGGAGTATCTTTGAAAATGGGGGAAAGAGACATGAAAATAGGAATTGAACTACTTGAAGGAGTTTCAAACTACAATAACTGGAAGTTTGCAATGAAAATGGCCCTAATACATGAAGATATATGGAATACAATTGAACCGGATGATTCAAGGGTAAGTGAGGTAACTCAAGGGGAAAGCTTGGTAAGTGAAAAGAAAAAAGATCAAAAAGCACTTGCTAAAATATGTTTATTTGTAAAACCTTGTTGTTATCCTCACGTAAGAAATGCAAAAACTGCAAAAGAGGCGTGGGACAATCTTAAATATGCATTTGAGGATAAGGGATTAGTTAGACGACTAAGTTTATTGAGAGTTTTATTCAATACTAAACTTTCTGAATTTGGTTCAATGGACGCTTATGTTACCAAAATTATTTCTGTTTCACAACAAATAGCAGACATAAGTAAGCCCATTGAGGATGAATTTCTTGCTGTAGTCATGTTGAATGGCTTGCCTAGTCATTATGAACCTATGGTTATGGCATTAGAAAACTCAGGAACCGAATTAACAGTTGAACTAGTCAAGTCTAAATTACTTCAAGAAGATTTAAAATCTGTCAATCCTGGTCATAACATTTAAAATAGAAATGCATTAGCTACAAAACAGAACACTAAACGCTCTGACGTGATATGTTATCGATGCCACAAACATGGTCATAAAGCATCAGATTGTTTTAAAAATTCTTCTAAATTCGGGAAGGGTACTAATCCGAACAAACGTGCTAATCAGATATCAACAGTAATGAAAGCAGTGACTGGTGTGTTCTATCGGCATTAGCAGCCAAAACTAGTGCTGATTGCTAGTATCTTGATTCAGCTTGTACGAATCACATGACAGGTCAGAGAGATTTACTTCAAAAATACCAAAAGTATAACAAAACTGGTATGGATGTCATTGTGGCCAACAATGAAAAGCTGAAATGTGAAGGTCAAGGAGAAGCAACAGTCATGATAGAGTCTGTTGAGAGGGAAGTTACTGATGTTGTCCATGTACCTAATTTAAGTTTAAATTTGCTTTCTGTTAGTCAAATGGTAAATAAAGGTCTAACAATGGGTTTTTCTGAAGACAGGTGTGATGTATACAAACAGGAGGACTGTAATGTATCAGGTCAACCTGTAGCTCATGCCACAAATGTGGATGGTCTTTACAAGTTGGACATTGATCCTGATAACCAAATGTCAAGCAACTTTGCAGGAAATAGTAAAGACACAGAAGATCTATGGCACCCTCGTCTTGCTCATTTAAGTCGGAAATCCATGAAATTATTTAAGGACAAAATGTCAACTGGTATGTCATATTCTGGTCAAGGTTCACCCTGTATTTCTTGCATACAAGGTAAGCAAACTACAACTCCTTATTCTAAAAAGAAGAAGGGATCTCGTGCTGCAGAAATTTTAGGATTAGTGCATTCCGACTTAATAATTTGCGTAAAGACTTAATAACTTAAGTGAATGTTACTTCGCATGGAGGAGCTCAATATTTACTAACTCTCACTGATGATTTTTCAAGAAAGACATTCGGCTACTTTTTAAAGCAAAAGAATGAAGTTGTTTCCAAAATTAAAGAATGGAAATTGCTTGTAGAAAATGAGACTGGGAAAAGATTGAAGAAACTCCGTACTGATAATGGAGGTGAATTTGTGAACAAAGAGCTAGCTGAATATGAATATATTCTTAAAGCTTCTGGTACAACATCAAACAACTGCTCCATACTCACCATCTCAAAATGGCGTAGCTGAGAGGGCAAATCGTACAATTTTTGAGAATTAAGACTCGTTCTCTGCTACATGATTCTGGCTTGGACAAAAAGTATTGGGCTGAAGCAGCTAATACTGTAATTTATTTGAAGAATCGGTCTCCTACTAAAGCTGTTTTTGGGAGAACACCGTAAGAGGTGTGGACCAACAAGAAGGTTGATCTTAGGCATTTGCGAGTTTTTGGTTGCAAAGCTTTTGCTCACGTGCCAAGTGGACAAAGAAAGAAGCTCGATCCCAAAAGTCGTGAGTTGATTTTTGTTGATTATTGCCAAAACTCTAAAGCCTACAGACAAGATATCCCTCTACGATAATCATATCCAGAAATGTTGTGTTCTTAGATGAAAAACCAGTTTGAAGGGGGAGAAGTGAGAGATAACAAATCATACAAGATTTTAGATCTATCAAATGATGATTCAGAGAGTAGAGCCATAACGGAGAATGATATTAATGATGACATAGCTGAGGATGTATCAAATCTAGAAGAGGACATGTGTATAACAGATGACACAATATCAGAACCTGACACAGAAAACAGAGAATCAAGTCTTGAAGAAGAAAAGCGAGAATCAAGTCTTGAAGAAGAAAAGCGAGAATCAAGTCTTGAAGAAGAAAAGCGAGAATCAAGTCTTGAAGAAGAAAAGCGAGAATCAAGTCTTGAAGAAGAAAAGCGAGAATCAAGTCTTGAAGAAGAAAAGCGAGAATCAAGTCTTGAAGAAGAAAAGCGAGAATCAAGTCTTGAAGAAGAAAAGCGAGAATCAAGTCTTGAAGAAGAAAAGCGAGAATCAAGTCTTGAAGAAGAAAAGCGAGAATCAAGTCTTGAAGAAGAAAAGCGAGAATCAAGTCTTGAAGAAGAGATGTACACAACAAATGATCCTGAAGCAATCCCAGAGGTGAGAAGATACCCACAAAGAACATGGAAACCAAAGAACATGGGACCATTTCAAATGTATAATGTGGTTCATGATCGTACACCAATTCATCATTTTGATTTGTCAACTGCTTTTTTGAACAGACAGCGGAAAGAAGCCCTAAATATTCAACAGCCTGAAAACTTTGTTGTTTCAAGAAAACAAGACAAAAGAAGGTGTTCCTGGCCCAATGCATCAAGAGTTAGTGCAATTAATCGGACTGGATCAAGTTGATAAACATTAAGGGGTGGTGTTAGAGAAGTAATATTTCTCATCTTGTCTTTACATCATCACCTGATCAAATATTAATTGTCTTGTTTACCTTTTGTATGTTATGGTTTGGTTTTGGTGTAATTGTTAAAAAAGATGTATCAATAATTTGTTCAGTATAAAAACGTTTTCCATTATATTTCTGGGCTATTTATTAACTATTACTATAAAGCAATTCCTTTTATCATTAGATATAAAATATGGACTAACACGATCGGGTGGCATTTAATTGTGAAGCATTCGTTTTGGCTTTGAAACTGTCAGATATTGTATTTGCGAAGGTTTATATGTATTCCTATACAGTAATAGTTTTGCCAACTTTATCAGGAAAAATGCACACTAAATATGCAACCAACTCCTGTTCTGAATATAAGTGTTGATATATGTATATAGTGAAGTCCATGTTTAGAGGTATTACTCTTTGGTCTTTGTGTATTCTCTTTTAAGTGTACTTGATTTCCGATTCAGAATAAAAGATGTCGGCTCATTAACTGCAGCCTAAATGTATTTCTGTCGATGTTAATTACAATTTATAATAAATAGTATTGAAACTTCAATTGTGTTTTTATTTAAAACATGAAACATGGTGTCTTATAAGTGGGATACAAATAAATTCAAGTGCGTGAGTAATAAATTAACATAAAAATGTGTTATAACAATGAGTGAGTCGGAAGATGAAAACGTGCTTCAACAAACTGAACAAAGGACTGTGTCTAGAAAAACTGAAAATTTCACAATGGTTCCATGCAATCTTCAGAATTTTAATTTCGAGGGCAATTTATCCGAAAATTGGAAGCACTGGTATCAGAAATTTGAGATTTATCTCTTGGCTTCTAACCTAAATTCTGAAAATGACGCTAGGAAGGTTGCTCTACTACTACATAATTTGGGTGACAAATGCATAGACATTTTCAATTCGTTCAACCTCTCATCCGAAGATGCAAAAAAGTACGACGTGGTGGTAAGTAAATTTGAAAACCATTTCTCGCCTAAGAAAAACCTCACGGTTCTGAGACATAAATTTCTAAATAGGAAACAGCTGCCATCTGAATCCATCGATAGTTTCTATACAGACTTAGTTAACTTGAGCCTCGCTTGTGAATTTGACTCTGTCCGCGAAAGTCTTGTTTGCGATGTCTTAATATCAGGGCTTAACTCTCAAAACCAGAATGTCAGGGAACGATTATTGAGAGAGCCGGAGATTAACTTGGAGAAGACTTTAGCAATCTGTAAAGCTGCTGAACTGTCTAAACAACACATCAGAGAACTTGAAGCAGAACATAATGTCCATACAGTAAACGTCCATAAGCAACGAGAGAGGGGTTACCAACAACCACAAACGTTCAGACAGAAACAGGTTCATCAGGACCAACGGAACAAATTTCATCCACCATCACAGCAGAAATCAACTGGGACAGGTAGGCCTAACAAAAGTACAAGTGCTAAGAAGTTTATTTCAAACTGCCGTAATTGTGGGAAAAATCACGGTATTAACAAGTGCTCTGCGTATGGCTTAGTGTGCTATAAGTGCGGTAAAAACAACCACTTTGCCAGTGTATGCAAATCAGCCAAAAAGGTTTGTGAAGTAGGCCTAAGTTTAGATTCTAATTCGAGTGATGTAGCTATAAGGCAAGGTAGGCAAGACAGTTCTTCTAAAAGTACTTGTGCACAAGAATATTTTTCAATTGATACGGTATCGCTCACGTCTGAATCTATACCTAATTACGTGATTGACAAAAACTTTTTATTCAGTAATATATGTTCAGTTAATGATTCTGTTCCTAAAAATTACATGTGTAAAGCCAGGGCTAATGAATGGCTAGAGAATTTGAACATTAGGGAACACACAATATCATTTAAAATAGATACAGGTGCTCAGACAAATATCATCCCAATTGATTTGTTTAATAGGCTAGGCCTATCAAAGGCATTAATACGCACCTCAAATATAAATCTTAGTACACTAACTGGTGAAAAAATACCGGTACTAGGTATTGTAGATCTAGATTGCTCTTTCAATAGGAAAATGTTCTGTATTACTTTTGTAATAGTTGATGTGAAATGTTCGCCAATTTTAGGCTTAAATTCTTGTCGCGTGTTAGGTCTTATAGCAGCCTACAACGGTCAGGTATTGTCTGATGTTAAGAACCAAAGTGTAAATAATATTGCTCTAGGTCAAAATATGCACAGGCCTAATGAAAGTGTACATTCTGTTAGTAGCATTTTGAATGAATATAGCTCACTTTTTGATGGTAGTATTGGTAACATTCCTACAACAGTTCATTTGTCATTAAGTGAAGATGCTAAGCCTATTATTGAACCATGTCGTAGAGTACCATTCGCTTTGTTAAATCCTTTGAAAAATGAACTTGAATTAATGGAAGCTAATGGAATTATTGTAAAAGAAAATGAACCTACAGAATGGGTTCACAGTTTAGTTTTGATAAACAAAAAAAATTCTGGACTAAAGGTAGTATTAGATCCAAGAAACCTGAATAAGTATATACAAAGAACACACTGTCAAATGCCAACTATAGATGAAGTGTCATCAAAGTTTAATAATTGTAAGATATTTTCAACTCTTGATGCAAGCAGTGCATTTTGGATGCTTAAGTTGGATAATATTAGTAGCAAGTTGTGTACGTTTAATACACCTTTTGGTAGATATAGATACCTTCGTTTGCCATATGGTATCTCAAGTGCACCGGATATATTTCATTCTACTGTATCTCAAATATTTGAAGGTATTGATGGTGTAGTCACCTACATAGATGACATTTGCATAGGTGCTCCTGATAAACAAACACATGATTTAAGATTAAAGGAAGTATTAAAAAGAGCTAAGGATTTTAATATTAAGTTTAACTCTAGGAAATGTAAATTTGCTGAGAGTGAAGTTTTGTTTTTGGGTCATCGGTTTACTGAGTATGGTTTAACTCCGGATCCTTCTAAGCTTAAAGCTGTACAGGAGATGCCAATACCTAAAGATCGTAAAGACTTGGAAAGATTTTTAGGAGTTACCAATTACTTATCAAAGTTTATTCCAAATTATTCGACTGTAACATCTCCTTTGCGAGTTCTTTCACATAAAGATGTTTTATTTCAATGGAATGCCGAACAACAAAATGCATTTTTGACTTTAAAGTCTTTGTTAGTATCTCCTCCTGTTTTATCATATTATGACCCAAGTAAGCCAATAACATTGTCTGTAGATTGTTCCTCAACTGGTTTAGGTGCTGTATTGTTATGTGGTGATAATCCAATTGCGTATGCGTCTAGAGCGCTCACTAAGACTCAGTCAAATTATTGTCAGATAGAACGAGAAATGCTAGCCATAGTTTTTGGTTGCACTAGATTTCACCAATTTATTTTCTCTAGGAAAGTAACTGTTGAAACTGATCACAAACCCTTAGAATGTTTGTTTAGGAAGCCCATTACTGCTGCTCCTTTAAGATTACAGCGAATGATGCTAAAAGTTCAACGCTATGACTTAATTGTTGTATACAAGCCAGGTAAATTGATGTATATAGCTGATACACTGTCACGTGCAGCACTTCCAATAGAAGGTAAAGAAGATATTGATGTTTTAGATGAGGACATCATTTGTGAGGTAAATATGTTAAAATCTTATCTTCCCGTGTCTGAAAGTAAACTAAACCTGCTAAGAGAAAAAACCAGTTCAGATGAATGTCTAGGTATTTTAAAGATGTATATATCTAAAGGTTGGCCTCAAAAGCCTGAAGTCAGTAATATGGTTTTACCATTTTGGAGTATTAAACATGATCTTCATGTTGTAGATGATCTTGTTTTCAAAAATCAATCTATTGTTGTACCTAGTTCACTTCATAAAATGATGCTTGAAAGTTTGCATTGTGGCCATGTAGGAAAACAAACATGTGAGATTAGGGCACGCAATTTATTGTATTGGCCCACCTTACATAAGGACATTGAAAGTTTTGTAAATAAATGTAGTGTTTGTGCTAAGTTTAAGCCTATGAATGCAAAAGAACCGTTGTTGTTTCATGATGTACCAGATTTGCCTTGGCATAAAGTGTCAGGTGACATTTTTGAGTTTGATAACCAATATTTTCTTGTACTAATGGACTATTATTCTAAATATATTGAGTTAGTATCTTTGTCAGACATTACTTCAAAAACTGTAATCGAGAAATGCAAATCAATATTTGCTCGCCATGGAATTCCTGTTACTTTAGTAGTTGATTCAGGAAGTCAATTCACTTCTAACGCTTTTCACGAGTTTTCTGTGTTGTACGATTTTAAGCTAGTGATAGTTAGTCCAAAACACTCTCAATCTAATGGTCAAGCTGAGTCAGGTGTCAAAATAGCGAAAAATTTACTGAAGAAAACAAAAGAATCTAAGTCTGATGTGTATCTTGCATTGTTAAGTTATCGTAACACTAGTAAACAATATCAACCTTCACCAGCAGAGTTAATGTTTAGTAGAAAACTCAATGGCCTATTGCCACTGTCTAAAAGTAGTTTGCAGCCTAAAGTAACAAAACCTAACAAAATTTTGTCAGACAAGAGAAAAGATTGTATTAAAAAGTACTATGATAGAAATAGCAAAGAGTTACCCTCTTTAAATGTAGGAGACAAAGTGTATTTTAAGAAAACTGTTGATTCACCTTGGACATCAGGAAAAGTTGTAGAAAAAAATAGAATCCCCAGATCCTATGTTTTGTCTGATGAGAAAGATAAAATGTTTGTAAGAAATAGGAAGATGATTAGGCCAGATTTGTCTAATGATACAGGTAATGAAACCATAATGCCTGAAACAAGTCCTAAGTCAGATTCACAAATCAGTTTGTCAGGTACTAATGGTAATAGCCTTATTTCTCCGCAAAGTAGTCCAGTGTTGTTTCAAAGACCAGTAGGCCTAACTCCTAGAATTTCATCAGAAGAACAAATTGTTAAAAGTTTCGATGGTTGTGTAAGCCGAAAGGGTAGATTGATAAGAAATCCAAAGCGGTTGTCTTATGATTAGGTTTTGGTGTATATTTTGTTAGACTTGAAAGGAAAATGTTAAAGTTGTATTTTGGAAAGTTAAAATTTTCAATTTTGTAAAAGAGAGGGGATGTTGATATATGTATATAGTGAAGTCCATGTTTAGAGGTATTACTCTTTGGTCTTTGTGTATTCTCTTTTAAGTGTACTTGATTTCCGATTCAGAATAAAAGATGTCGGCTCATTAACTGCAGCCTAAATGTATTTCTGTCGATGTTAATTACAATTTATAATAAATAGTATTGAAACTTCAATTGTGTTTTTATTTAAAACATGAAACAATAAGGTTTCAACTAACTGCAAGATTCCCGTACGTAGAACGGGCAAACAGCTAGTATAAATATATATATATATATATATTAATTTGAACGGATGGTGTTTTTGGCCTCCAGGGACCTCAAAACGAAAAAAAAATCGGTCCCGCGTCCAGGTCTTACCATGAGTACTACGGTAATAGCTTATTCCCTACATGGGAAATTCGCTAAAACAAAAATAACAACTAAACAAGAATGTTGGAAAACTTCTTTAACAATAAATTAAGTTTATCACTAAATACATCCAGATCATCAGAATCTATATATATATAAAAGGCAAAGCCCTCACTGACTGACTGACTGACTCACTCATCACTAATTCTCCCACTTCCCATTTACCTAGGAGGCTGAAATTTGGTACACTGATTCTTTAGGCATTAAATAGTCAAACTAAGTTGTTTTTATTCTGATCGGACTCTCGGGCTCCGCCCCAGTGGCTCTGGAGTTTCCCATGTTAACCATATGAGTACTCATATTTAAATGGAATTGAATGAATTGGAAATTAATCTTAACAACAGCTGTTTCAATTAATCAAGTTGGTTCTGTTCTATGATGTTCAATAGCATTTAAGTTACAAGGATTACCAACAGGGTGCAGCACTATTATTTCTTTTACATTTATGACAACAGCTAATTTGCAACCAAAAGGTGAGTGAGCGCAGCGAACGAACTTCAACCTGGAGGTGAGTTAGCGTAGCGAACGAGCTAACCTGAAGGCAAGTAAGCGCAGCGAACGAGCTCCAACCTAAAAGTGAGTGAGCGTAGCGAATGAACTTCAACCAGGACGTGATTGAGCCATGCGAACGAGCTCACTTATGAAGTTAAACATAAGAACAATGGAAAATTAAAATGAGTCGTTGTTTTATATCTAGGCAGTAAAAACAAATTGAAATTCCTAACGTTACGCCTGGGTACATAATTTATATTCTCCAGTAAAATCTCACTATCAACAGTGGTACCTACCATTAATAATTTTATAAATAAATTAAAAAAAAGATGACTTTTCTTCTCAGAGACAATTTAGGGGTGGATAAAGTACTTCTTAAATTATTAACAGGAAAATCAAAGAGGCATGGATGAGAAAACATCTAATGATAAATCTAAGAATTTTGTTTTGGAGGACCTCAAGACTTTCACTTTCGGATTTAATAATGTATTACCACAGTAAAGCACAATATTCTAATTTACTTCTTATTTGAGTTTGATATACTTATTAAAAGAATTTGGTTCTAAATTCTGAAAATGTTTATTATTTCTTTTAATAAACCCTAAAAGCTCATAAGAATCTGCTAGCAATCTATGAACATGTACAGAGAAACAGGAAGAAGTAAAAAAAATAAATACCCCTAGATCCTTAATCATGTTGACTAATTTCAATGGTTTTTTACTTTCTCCCCCTATACCATAGTATATGGAGAAAGTTATTGTTTTCGTCAAAATTTTCGAGTTAGAGTTTTGAGTGGATATATTCGTTTTGGGTCCCCCTGGACCCAAAAAAGTGGTTTTCGAAGTGATGTCTGTGTGTGTGTGCGCGTGTGTGTGCGTGTGTCTGGATGTGTACAGAGCTAGATACCACACCTGTAGTCCGATTTCTGTTCCGATTTTTTTTAAATTTGGTATGTAGGTTCTAATCCATGGTATCTCCAGGTGTTTTTTTCATTTTTTGAATTTTTTTTAATGGGGATTTTCCCATAAAAACCCATAAAAAACCGGAAAAATCAGATTTTCTCGAAAATGGCCCGAACG